GCTAGGCTGTTTGCCGAGTTTAGAGGCTGAAGCTCACTGTGGCGCCGCGCCGATCTTTGTTTGCTTGGGCCGTCTAGTCCCGCGCGACGACACTTTCGCAGAACGGCGTCCATGTCCCGAGCCTCTCAGAGAGCCAAAGCCGCGTGAGCATGCTTGCGCAGCAAAGTCTCCCAATGCTTCAGTGCCCATAGAATATAGTCTCGATTTTTCCACGGGCGTAAGGAAGGTCGGCACCACAAAATCTGTTCAATGGGCTCATGCGCCTGAAAACCTTCTCTGGCCATCAAACACGCGGCCAGTGCCGCTGGGCTACGATGTATGCCGCCGTAGCAATGGAAGAGCACGACTTGTTTCCGCCCCAGCATGGCAGGCCTGGCATTCAAAGTGCGTGCGATCTCTAGCCAGCCAGTGGAAAATCCAGTGGAACTACACTTGGAACCGAGTGGATCCCTACTTGGACTACTACAGCACTACTATACAGCTGATTAGGACTCTGAGACTGACTACTAGACTGACTCTGAGCTGGACCCTGATTAAACAAACCACTTGAGCCTCCAAGTGGCAGTGCCAACTCTGCGGGCTGCAACAACAACGCAATGAAGGCGTTGAGCCAGTTGGGGTGGAGGAGGGCATTCCTCTGCGTCCTCTGCTCAGTCCCCGGGGGCATCTTGGGCTTTCCCTTGCCCATCCCCTTGCCCTCCATCTCCATGGGACTGGCGCTGTGTGGCAGCAGGCTCCGCCTACACAAAAACAGTGATTGGCTTCCAAAGCCACTGCAAAAGCCACACAAGCATCTAGAGCTACACAACAAGTTATATGCAAACTGGGTTGGAGGACTGGTTGGATGAACTTATGTAAATGACTCTCTACATGACTCTCTAAATGCTACAGGCTATGCTAAGTGCTATGCTACAAGAGTTGCTACAAGCACCCCTGTGACTAGACCATATCAATGAATGGCCAAGGTGCACATCAACCGTGGTTGTTGATCTCACAAAGGACTGGGACTGGTGCTGGAAGTTGCGTGGCTGATCTTCCTGTCGCATCAATGAAGATGTATTGCTGCTCAAAGGTCATATAACTGGTTATATACACTGTTATACACTAGGTACTATACTAGGTAACATATAGTGTTATATATCCACAATGTACTCCACAATGTGGTTCCATGCATATGAACCATTGTCAGAACTGTCATTGGCATTAGCAGTGGCATGCCCATTGGATAACATCTTGGAAGTCATCTTGGACCATACATACTACCATACATGGGCTATCAGACTGGCACTCAGACTGGCTATAAGTTACCAAAGCTTGGATGTGTGTCTTTCTTTCTAAACTGAGACTATGCGATCATCACTGGTATCATACTTGGTATCATCACTGACATCATCTGACCTGCCAGTCCCATAGTCCTTGTTCTCCCCATAGGCAACCACCAGGACTGTCTCAGGCCATCCAGCCACCCACTGCTCCGTGTTGTTCATGCAGAGGCAATGGGGACACCTTGGCCAAGCAAAGTGGGTCAACTAATCTACTGATCATCTCACATCTCTTCTTATATCATTGGATTTGACAACAAGTAGTACAAAAACTGTACAAACAGTCAAGTGCATTGAAAGGGAGGAGCAATGACTGGAGCAACCCACAAATAGACACATGGACTGGCGCGTGGGTATGTATTGATACTTGTGTGGATTTGCCACCACTTTTGTACCCATATAATATATATATATATAAATAAAATCATCTATAAATTCCTACTTAAAATCCTTTTTGAACCTGGTCACAGCCATGAATATATCCAAACAACTACCAAAGCGCTGCTGCATTGATTGGATCTTTGCAGGTTTACTTGCAGGCTTGTAATACAGTTTGTACTTCAGCAAACTCTGCGATTGGGAAGTGGCAATGGATAGAGTTTCTGAAAAGTGTGAGTCAAAGAGTCTATCCTGGTAGAAATTATGTAAATCACATTTGGCTGAGGAAGAACTGACCACTGAATTGACCCAACAGCTGACACCCTAGCTACTACACTAGCTGACACCAGTTCATCTACCACTTAATTCATCCCTTCATACTTCACTTCATCTATCCTTCCACCCTGTGCTTTGATGGCTGCTTTGATACTGCAGGCTAGTGGCGATGCCTCATTCAGGACTGCCCCCTCCTCCTTGTGTGTGCCCAAGCTCCAAATGCATGGACTGGCTCAGGACTGTCCATAGGAGGCGGGACTGTCCTTGTGTACAACTAATGTGCTTCCAGATCCAATAGTGGGGTAGTTAGTGGGACTCGTAGTAAAACATACCAAGGATATCCAAAGTGAATCCAAGCAAGCACCCAAACACTACCCAAACATAAACAAAATGAGTTAACTCATAAACCAATGCAGTAATTGTGAATAAGCCAAGGCTCTCACCACATAATGGTAGCACTGAATGTGGTAGACATGGTCTTTGCAGTGGACTGGTTGAGGAGCTGGCTCTCCACAAACACTGCGCCACCACACCATGGCGAGTCCACCAATCCGGCAAGGAGGGGACTGGCACTGGACTTGGCCCTGGGACTGTCCCTGGGACTGGCACGTGCTCCGAGTGTGCGTCAGTGAGAGTGTCAGTGAGGTGTGAGTTGATTGTTGAAGACACTGTTGAAGATATGTGTTTTTTTATTCTGTGTACTACTCTGTGTACTATGGGAGTTACTATGGGCTGTAATATCAAAGGAACTCCCAAAGGAAAGGAGAGTGCGCAGGACTGGAAAGGTGGGTGGTTCAGGAATTCTTCTGGTGCTGTGACTTCACTGGTTAGTTATATCATATGGTTGGAGTCTGAGCTTCTTCTGAATTTTATGGTCTTGCAAACTGTCTTGTAATGCGTCTTGCAGCTTGGGCCCTCATCCTCTGGCAGGAAGGTCCCTGTAACTGAGACTGCAACTGAGTTGTGAAAACAAACTACTGAAGACACAAGTTGACCATGAAGTTCACCAAAACTTTCTCCTAGACGTTTCACTAGGGGTTGCTTGAATCTGGGATGGGCAAGTGGAACTGCAAGTGGATGGGCAAGAGCTCACAATGCTGGTCATTGAGTTTCAGACAGATTTTTCGATGTGGAAGCTGATGTGATAGTGTGGCAAGCTGACCTTAAAGCATGGTTGGGTGCATCAATGGCTTCATCATTCATGTGTGTCAAAGTGTGTGTCATCTAGGGCGACTACATTTTTGGAAGAAGCTACACTGTTACCTCTCTACTTACCTCTCTATGCTCTGTAAAAACACTAGGCTAGGCTTGACGGATGACAACAAGTACTCCAAGACTCCTTCATCTCTAGCTCTCTCTTGAAAATAATGTCAAAAATACTGTCAAAAAGTTACACATGTTGTGAAGAACCTGAGCTTCCAACACAGGAGCCAGCCAGTGAGGCAGGCTAAGAAATTGGCGGAGAAATGGCTACTGGACATTCAAGGACTGGCAACTGGACTGGCACTGGTGTAAATACTGGTGCTACTACTGGCGTACTAGCTGGTTTAAGAAACTTGTGCTGAAACTTGTAAGAAAACTGCAATGGAAACTGCAAAAGAAATAGCAAAAACTGTGGTGACAAACAATAAATATGTCTTTGTTGTGAGCTGTGTGCAACTTGTGAAATATGTATATATATATATATGGTACCCCCCCCAAAACCTAGCATATATATATATATTGAGTCACAGTGAGAGCCTGCCTTAACTCAAACAATGCTTGAATCCTCACAAATTCCGGGGGGGTTGTTATACATGATTAAGGTGTGGGCCTGACCGTCAAATCGTCCAGAGCGTACGCACATTGTTTGGGTGTCTTAGATAAAGGTTGGAAGTCTTAGATCTAGATATCTTTTTCTGCCCCGAACACATCTACAAATCCCACAACCGTCCTCCGCGTTCGGCTGCGCCGCTTCCTGTGTGGGAATTTGCATGGGTACCAAAAGCAGCCACCTACTTGAACAAAAACAGACTATAAGAAAAGTTAGACTATACACTACGCCCATCCCCGAACCGAACACAACCCCTCCTGCGCAGAGCAGCTGTCCACTATGGAGTCTAGCCGGCACCTACTTCAACAAAAACCAATTGTATGCAAAGTTAAACGATACATAGACTACGCCCATCCCCTGACTCCATCCCTCCTGCGATGCGAAGCTGTCCACTATGGATTCGAGCAGCTGCTCCTTCCGCAGCGCTGCGCCGTCGCGAAACTGTGCTAGTCCCAACTTCGCGCACAGCTTGCGCAAGTCGGCGTAGCTCTTCGCCTGCAGCTCGGCGTGCAACCATGGCGCGCCTCCCTCGCCGTGTCCATCTCGCAGGCGCTGCGCCTCTGGCTCCTGCTGCCCCGCTTCCGGTATGGGAATTTGCATGGGTACCAGCAGCAGACACCTATTTGAATAAAAACAGATTATCAACAAAGTTGAACTATACACTACGCCCATCCCCTGACACAGGTTGGGTGTCCCTAACAAAAGTTGGAAATCTTATATCTAGATATATCTAGATATCTTTTTCTTCCCCGAGCACATCTACACATTACCACACCGTCCATACCATCTCCAGCCCGTCCTCCGAGTTTCGCAGGACGGCGTCCTCCACACCAGCCATGGTCAGTGCGCCTATTCACGAGAAGCTTGTGGGGTGTGTTGAAACTTCTTGCAAGTACATTCTTCATTGCTGTTGACTTCCTGTATGTTCCCGGCTACGATCTGGTGCTCGCTGGCCCTAGTTCTGTGGAGACTTGTGCAATCTCACTTTGAGACTTTGAGTACCAAAGGTCTGCTTGAACCGCCGCGCACAATTCCAGGCAACGCAGAAATGCCTTGATTCAGTGGAGTTTTTGACAGATCCAAGCAGACAGACTTGCAACACCCACATGATCAGCAAAGCACCCCACAAACACCAGTCACTCATGTGCTCACCAAAGCTCCTCATCTCTTGTGCCGAATGACGAGCGGCCTCTTGTGGGACACTCTTGTAGGACGATCTTGTGGGACACTCTTGTGGGACACCTCTGTGGGACACTCTTGTGGGACACTCTTGTAGGACACCTCTGAGGGACACTCTTGTGGGACACTCTTGTGGACACTCTTGTAGGACACTCTTGTCCGGCCTGCATTCCGCGTACTCGACACGCACGATCTCCGCAGAAGGTTGCGCGCGCACAGACCCAATCGCACTCTCGCCTGCATTTCGCGCACTTGACGCGCACGATCTCCGCAGAGGGTTGCCTTTTCGGTTGACGCTGTTCGTCCCACCTCCGCCTTTAAGAGAGAATTTACAAGCAGTTCCCGGGCAAGCCGGCGGCGGAAGTTTCCTATAAGAACAAATTGACCTTTTGGAGTGTTCCGGTTCTCCCAAGCACGCGCGTCCCCCAGTCAAACGCACGCGCTCCGGACTTTTGATCAACACAGCGCCACCTGTGCAAGGTCTGTGCTTCCTGCAGGATCAGCAGCTCACACCGGCGTGCTGAAGCAACTGGGCAGCTGCAATCGAAAGTTAAGTGCAGTTCCTGCGAGCACGCGAAGTGGGAGGTGTTTTCAATCTCAAAAACAGCGAAACTGTTCCTCGCCGGGGCAAGGCGAGTGCATTTCCCGGCGGTCTGCACGGTCCACAGCGACGCACGCAGATCGATGCCTCCCGGCAAAGCAAGGACCGGGTGACCCAGTAGCTCCGGCAGGGGCTGGACGAGGTGGAACAACGGGCAGCTGGGGCGGTTCTGTAGCTACGAAAGTGGCGACATGACGCGGGTCACAGCACCGCGCGTCGGAGTAAATGTAGCTGTACATTTCCAGCAACATCGTCGGGGTGACGTCCGACATGACGCAGCAGAGTGTCGAAGTGTCAGTGTTCAAGGGATTTTGAAGAACCCTTCGCAATGGGAAAAATGTGAAAACCTATTTAAAACCTATTTAAAACCTATATATAATATATATTTTAAAACAAAACGCATTTTTTTTTTCGGAACCGAAACCGACAACGCTTTCGTCTGAGCGCGCTGCTCCACAAAAACCTTGGCCTCGGACAGATGAACGGAACGTTTAAAGTTAGGCAAGAGCAATGGAATGTAATGGAAGACTCATGGAAGACAATCGTTTGTAGATTCGTTTTTAACAACGAAGGGGAGAGTAGGCTAGTGGAGGTGAGGTGGGTGGTAGCTAGGGAGTCGGTAGCAGGGAGAGGTAGCAAGTACCTTGCTAGTATGCTACTAGCGATGCAGGCCAGCGGGGGGAGCTTCCTGAAGAAAAACTCCAATCATTTGGTTCCTAGTAGCGTTCTCTTGCTCCGTTCGTAGCGATGCCAGGAGCCCCCAGCGTCCTTGTTCCTAGATTTTTAAGGACACTTAACTTTAGAGAGGGTAGGTAGGAAGGAGCTGGTAGCTGACAACTAACGTAGCTAGCGTAGCTCGTAGTAAGCTACTAGCTCTGAAGTAGGCCGCTACGAGCTGGATGCAGGAAAGCGCTTGAGACCACTACTTATTTTGGAAGCTACTAGGTTAAGTTGGAAGCAATTCATGTTCGATTCGAGATCGGTTCAGCTTGATGAGACTTTCTCGGTTTGCGCCCTTTGGACGGTCATTTTGCATTTCTGTGACCGTGAACTAGAGACTTGGCAGCACCGTTTCGCCTTTCATTCTGTCGGCTACCGTACTCCGTGACTTTTCATCCGTTGCATTTTCAGGTTTTGTTTGTGAAATAGGTCACATTGTTGCACATTTGCACGAAGAACCGGAAGGAAAGGATCTCTCGTATGAGCGCGTCTCAGCTCCAGTCCGCTACCAGTGCAGTCCACCTGGCGAATGACACAGACAGTCTACAAACAACACAAACCGTCGCTATTAGGTTGGCCATTGCTAGTGTCAAATGTTTGACACACACATGTCGCACTAAACTCTGTTGCTTTATTTGTAACAAAACCTTTCAACAATTGCCGTCTATTTTTCGCCTCCCTCGTCTCATTTCTGACCGTCTGGACGCAGCCTCCTTTTCCTTTTTGCAATGTATCTAATAGCTTTTTGTTACTAGTAAGGCACTTGTTCCTAGTAGCTTATATATAAAGGGACAACAAGACTTCGGGTTTTGGAGTGGTATTTGTGCCTGTCCAATGATCACATTGGGCGTGTCGGTGAAGTGCTTGGCCATTTGATCCCACCTGGGAAACAAAACGTGTGCACATTTTCCCGGACACGTGACCGTCTTCTAACAAACCAACCCAAAGCTCCACACATTCCTTTTTGGAGCCGGCTGTTAGGTTGGAGGCCAAATCATAGTTAAGTTTCCCTAAAATTCTAGGAACGCGCGTGAACTATCCTGAACCGAGCGGCTCTGGCTGCAACTTTCTGCAATGGCCTAAAGGAATGAAAGACATGTGGAAACATATGAAAAACATATGAAAGCACGCGCATTAAAACAAGAAAATAACACATGACGACATAAAACCGCAAAAGTTCTCGTGAACACCGACGAAATGCTCCTACCGTGAGTTCTCGACTTCCTCATGCCTTTGAGGCTAAGCCCCCGTGCCACACCAAGGTGCTTGGAAAAACACAAACGCCTTGGTGCTTGAAGCGAAGTATAGATGGAGAATGGAGAAGAATGCAAACGTCAAATGTTTGGAGAGTCTCCAGGCTTGGGGGAGAATTAGATTTTAACATGAGAAAAAGTGACAACGAAAGCTGAACACAAAAACATGCCTTTTGCACTGCGTTTTCGCACCAGTGCGTAGGAATTCCCAAACTTCTCTGTGCTTTCGGTTTTGTGTTCGGTGCATGTCTCTTCGCCTCTCACATCGTGGTCCGGGTGCGGTTCACTCGAAGGGCTTGGTGTCGCACGCGCAGCGACCATTTCGAATCTCGCTTCGCTCCGGAACTCAGAGTTCATCGCTACTAGTAACAAGTGCCACGCTACTAGTAATCGGTGCCACGCTACTAGTAACAGGTGCCTTACTAGTAGTAACAAGCTTATTAGCTGACTAGTAGTAACAAGTGACCAATTTAATTAGAATTGTAATTACAAGCAAATAAATCTACTAGGACCTTTTCGCGCGCGCGCGCCCGGGGGGGGGTAGGAACTCGGAGTTCAGTTTGCCAGAAGAACTGTTACTAGTAGTACGGCCAGGAGCCCCTAGTAGCGTCCTTGCTCCTAGTAGCGATGCCAGGAGTCCCTAGCGGCCTTGTTCCTAGTAGCTTCTTGTTACTAGGAACCAATTGATTAGTGCGAGCGCTTCTTCAAGGAAGCTCCCCGCCGCCCTCAGGCGGGGGAGCTTTGTTGAAGAAGCGTGAGCTGTAGCATACTAGTAGGGTACTAGCACTTGTTACTAATAGCAAACATTGTTACTAGTAAGGCACCTGTTACTACTAGCGTGGCACTTGTTCCTAGTCGGAAGCGTTAAGGCTCGAGTCGTGAGAGTCTGGGGCACTGGGGCGTACTTCGACGTGTCGGTCGTGTGTTTCATATGCCGCTTGCCTATCAATCGATGGTTCAAAACCGAATGGACTTAATGACTGGTCCTTTTTTCCTACGATGTTCAAGATTTTTGTCTGAGTTTGTGGCATTCTTCCCTTCCAAGGACTTCCGGAAGTTGTTATCCGTCAACTCCATTTTCAAAGCTTCACTTCCTCCCAAAACTGAAGGCAGAATCCTACCGCTGTGCGGCAAAAATGCGCTGAGGTGTGAAAAAAGGGAAAAGACGGCAGCACTGGACATCCCTACAGAGAGATGCGAACAACGACATGACTCAAAGTGACCGGTCTGAACCGACACACCTTATTAGACCAAAATGAAAGCGATGCACTTGTTACTAATAGCAAACATTGTTTCTACTAGTAAGGCACTTTGTTACTACTAGCGTGGCACTTGTTACTACTAGCGTCTTTAAGTCCTAAAATTCTTAAAAAGGTAGCTACACTTTAAGTCCTTTTTCTTCGTCCTTTCACAAAATACACTTTACACTCCTCCGAAGAGAAAGAGAAGCAATGCCATGGTTCCTGAGTTCAGCCACTTTCAATCTTTCAACAAAACACATCTTTCGATGTTTTTCTCTTCCGACGCTGCGAAGACGTCACCTTTCGTTTTCCCTCTCCTGACAGTGACATTTTGTTTTCTCTACTTTCTCTCGAGCCAAAAGATCGAAACGAAGACGACGTATGTCACTTCGATTCAATTCCAAGACTGATAGCGACAAATATGAGAACAAAGCGAAGCAGCGAAGCTGAACAAAACCTGTTCTGCCCTTAGCAAATATGAAAAAACATATTGGAAGCCATCGCTAGTAGGTTGGAGGCCATTGCTACTAGGTTACTGTTACTGTGCAGCTGCCAGTCGCGCCGTCCTGCTCTGGCCTTCTTGATGCTCATTGCTTCAGTTTAATTTCAGTTGCTTGGGGTTTCTCTTGGTTTCTTCGACTTCTAGCTTCAAATAGCTTCATCTTCTCATCTTCACCATTCTGCCGTCTCTCCGTCTCTTTTAACAGCCATGCGCTTCATCTTGCATTTTGGTGACAGGTGACAAGACACGAAGCAGCGGCAAGCACGGGTTGCCCCAGTTGCTGACCTTTTTTTATCCTCGGTAACAAGAAGCTACTAGTAGCAAGGACGCTATTAGGTGGAGGCCATCGCAAGCAGGTTGGAGGCCATCGCTACGTAACAAGACACTTCTAAAAACGCATTTCTGAATACGGGCGGACTGCCGTGACTGCCGTGCAAAGTCGTTCGGACTTTACCGAAACTTGTCAGCCGCCGGCAGAACCCTGCCTGCCGGCGCGAAAGCGGCCTCGCGTGGCCAGCGGGCCTCTCGTGGCCTCTGCCTGTCTCTACCATCAGTGTGAATTCGATTCTGACACTTGAGAATTTTGCCTTACTAGTGAAGCTACTAGGAACAAGTGCATCGCTAGTAACAAGTGCCTTACTAGTAACAAGGATAATTTTCGGCAGAGGAAGTGGTTTCGAATTCGCCCAGTCCTGTCCAGTGCCTGTTTCAAGTGTCCCACAACTTCAGACTTTCTCGCCACTAGCAGAGGCCATCACTAGTAGTAACAGGTGCCACGCTAGTAGTAACAAGTGCCTTACTA